AATCTACAACCTCTCTACTTTTCAAAACCCCCAACTTCCCTCCAGAGAGACTGCAAAGCTAAACTAAGCATTTCTGCGAATTAAAAGCAGAGGCTTACAGCGTATGCAGCTAATAAGGTAATCTAAGTTGAAAATAAATCTGCGGCTAAAATAAGCAAAATTAAAAGCAAAAGTAAACGTAAAACAGCTGGAAAAAATGAGCTTTAACTGCTTACTGCACTTTTATTAAGGCCAGTTTACCATTTGCATCACATAATTAGAAAATGCTAATCAAAATATTTACATTCAAAAACATTTCAACTGAATAGGCTGCAGTTGTCATTACCCGAAGAAGAAAACGAAAGACGAGCTTGTGACGGAAGTAGACATTAAAGCATCTTACACAAAAAAAGTAGCAATGCATAACAGACAGAAAGTATCCATTTGATGTATTTGAAAAAAGAAACTTCTAATTCTCCTTCAACGGAAAGATTTAATTTAAAATTTGTAAATGAAGCAACTCAATCCCTCTAAAAATTTGAACGTTAATTAAAAAATTTTGCGGAACAGATCTTCCCACTTCCTTCTTGGGCTTATCATGAAAACAAACGTGAGGTAGCTGTCTTCAAGGTCCCTAAAATATCCGCTTCCGTGCGGAATAAACACAGGGAGTAAGAGGAAGAATAAATAAATTAAAATCCGATAAAAGATTTCCGAAGCCAATAAAATAATCGCTTCTGAAAGAATTTAAAGACATTCCAATCCCATTTTCAAAACTTTTGACAACATCATTACGTCTAAATTATTAACATACGCCAGACTCAGGTAATTAATAAAGTTAATGTTTGTTACCGCAAAAATGACGAAACTGCTAAAGGCTACGAATTAACTACAAGAGCCACTTGTTCCTGAGTAGGAATTCCAGCAATCTGTCGTTGTTCGTCATCATAATGCTTTTCCGCAAAGCTGTTGGCTCTTGAAAAAACCTAAACCATCCCATAAAAACAAAAAGACGCAAAATCGCGTTGCAATTGCTGTTTTTTCCGAATAAACTAAAATTCTAATTAATTTTCAAAACTTACATCACTGACTTGTTTCCTAACAGCTTGTAACAAAATATCTTCCGCATCTTTAGCCCCAATGTATAAATCAAATGCATCCTTTATCTAAAAAACGATTAATGAGGTGGACAAACACATAAGCAGATGAATGCTCGAAAAAGGTACCTCCGGCCAAAAACGCGTCAAATTCTTGAATGCCTGGGCGGATAAATCTTGCATGACAGAAGGTTCGACCAGAGGCTCACTTTTCTCACTTGGCTGAGTATCAGTATTTTGCTAAAAAACAATTAAAGAGAAAGAGTGAAACAAATGAGAAAACTACCTCTGAATCACCACTAGGCTTTTAAAAATAAAACAGTTAGCTAACTTGGGACTCCACTTTCAAAATATAGTTGCTCAAATTCAATACGATTAAATCCGTTGCAACTTTAATAAGAGAGTGACAATGAGTCTTCAGCTGTGAGTCAATAATGCGGCGACTGTCACCAGAAGACTCGATTACTGAAACTGGTACCTAAAAACCCTAAATTTTGAACTAGAAACCACACTTGAAGCTATAAAGTTATAAGAATACCTGAAATAGAAGTTCCAAAAACGCATTGTTTGAATTGAGTTCAAACCACCGCTGCCTGTTCTGTAACAAATGCGATGCACTCGTTTTATACTTGCTCAAATCCAGAGAGTAATCCCTTTGAGGAATTAAATCGGTGGTTGAGCTGAACTCTAAAATACATTAAAAAGTAGCTGCTCACTTAATTAGAAATAAAATTTTAAAAAGAGATGGAAGAAGTGTGGGCAGTATAGAATGGCAAATTACCTGACAGCACCGCCCTGTAGGGACTGGTTTGTTCACGTAATATAAGCAAGTGCTTAACAACAAAAAGCTCTGAGTCTAACATCCCTCGCAGTTTTGAAGACTTTTGAGCAACATTACGCTGTATCTGCTCTGCGGCTTGTGTCAAAGAATCACAACATACAGATAAAAGTTCACGAGCTATACTTTGAAATACAGCCAACTACAATGTAATTTCTAATTATATTAAGTGAGTAAAAGCAACATTCAACTTCATTTATAGTTTTATATAATCATACGATGAAAACAGCAATCTGCCAACACTTACATCCAAGCAGCGATACAGTTTCGATAAGCATAAAACTGTACGACGAACCGTTGGGTACCATAAACAGTGTAAGTCAACTGCTGGAGTAGGCTCGTTATTGCTCGAATCACTTGTTTTGTCAGGTGCTTCCTGCAATAATAATTCTCACATAAAAAATAAAACTTAATTTTCTTCAAGACTGTAGAAACTATAATGAAGCATAAAATCCACGAAAAACGTGTGAAAAGGAAGTAAAATTACTTTTGCTGCAGCGCTCTCCAATTCAATTTTCTTCATCATAATCAATTTTTCGGGATAAGCCAAATCACCAGGTGACGGCCGAAAGCCAAGAATATCAGACTGACCATACAAGCCAGCTCTAAATGAAAAATACTTCACGCAGAATCCTAAATGCCTTTTTATTCAAATAATATTATTTCTGCACCTGCAGTAATTCCAAAGCTTGAGTAGAAATAAAACTTATAGTTGTTTTGAAAGTCTTATAAGAACAATAAACGATTACACTTTGCTGTTGTTTTAAACAATGTTTTCTATTGGGCTATTTATTCAAGAAAGTTTTTTTTAAAACAGCAATTACTTCCCCAAAAAATTTCAGTCTTTTTGAAAATTTTTCAAAAATTTTGCTTTCATAGTTCCACCTAAAAACATTGGAAGGGCAAATCGTTCTATCTGCTAAAAAAAATGACTTCTTCTATTTAACAGATACGGACCACCGGTTACAGTCCATCAGCATAGCAAAACTTGCAGACAATGTTTCAATAGTTTCTTGAATGCTTTTCAATCTACTACCACATTCGCGCCTCACATGGCTTCCCCAGCTAAAAATTACTTAGAAAAAAAATTTTTCCCTTCACAAACCCAGAAATTTTTACAACACTGGGAAGTTAATGACCTATATCTTAATCAATAAAGTTCATTGTAAGCTAAAAATGCCTGAATTTGGCAAAAAAATTAGAACTCATTCATAAGTGCTTAAAAAGTAGCGATAAAACGCATCCTCCAAACTATAAAACCTGGTGTCTAAAATCACTGTAATATCATAATACAAAAACCATTAGATTAATGAAAAAACAGAAAAATCTAATTCATTTAAAGAAACAACTACAAGCGAGCAACACCACTTACCGATAAACAATTCTTTCAGCGATATCACCAACCAGTTCCCCCATGACTCTAACAAAACCATTACGCGGATTCATCAGAATCTCTTCCCCTGAATCCCCTTTCCCAGAAGATTTTAGTGCTTCTATGTTATGCATTTGTTGCATAACAGACAACATAAGGCCACAACGTTCCTCGATCATTTCTACCTAAAATATGTACTAAATTTCAGTCCCTTAAAAATTCATTGGAGACATTAAAGACAAAACTAATAAACTTATCACATCTGCCTCTAAAACAAATAAAATTTAAGTTTAAACTTTTCTGAAAATCATATAGGGTATTTAAATAACGCAGGCAATTGAGTTGACGTTACTTTCAAAATGGTACAAAGCTCTGCAAGAGTTTCCAAATGTGGGTTATGGACAACAATAGGGCGTAGAACGTCATAAAATATTCTTGATATTGATTCGATAAAATCATCAAAACAGGTCTGAGTTCCAACAAAAGGAGCTAGTACGGCTTTTGATAGAGGACTTGATGGAACCGAGTTTCCTTGTGAGTGTGGACTCTTATTTTCAGAAGCTGGAATGCACTGCTGATAGTAAATTTATTTGCAGTAAAAAATAAGCAAAAACAATGGTCTAAAAAATTGTTTCAAAAATTGCCTTGTACGTTAAAGAACTGTTTGAAAAGGCGAAACTCGTCATCACATAAACGTAGCAAAAATGAACAACCGTTTCTAGTCAATGCACATGAACTTTCAGCGTGTTTTCTGAAAGAACAAGGAAAAAAAATATATTTGGCTTATTCCTCACCATTAAAAATTTTTAAACCCTACAAGTTTCACAAGATAAAACTTACTGCAATAATTGCTCAATGGTTTTATGGAGTATTGGAGACAACAGTTGCTTCCTTATACTGAAATACGCATTCTGACAGTCTGCCGCCATCGCCTGATATTCAGGAACATCCGCGAATCTCTGCTCGGCAGCCGAGAGAGCAGAACGAATAAAATTAGCTCGCCCAGCGAAAACCCCATAAATTAAGGCAAATGTGTCCTCATCTGGATACGAGTATTGGCCAGCTAAAAAAAAATTAGGCCAAATCTTCAAGTGACGTGAGCAAGCAATAAATCAAAACATGAAAAAAAGAAACAGACAAACCATCTGCGTCCAGTTGAGCTTGTCGATCACGTACTGCGTTGACGCTAGCTTCAAGGTCAGAAAGGACAGCAACACGGATGGCAGTCATAGCCCTCAAAATAAATTTAAAGAAGTTTAGAAAATGTTAAGATGGAAATCCCGAAATTGGACATTCATAAGTGACTGGAGCGAACATAAAATAATTTTCGATAAAATTACAAAAACTAATTTAAAAATACTCAGAAGTTGAACTGTAACCATCAAAGTCTTTTGAATCTAGTGAAACATTACAGAAAAACTCAAACAATTAAAGGTCTATTTACTTCGAAAGGCACTGGTTGTACTTCTCAATATACAGCAGTGAATCTTTGTACTGTATATGGTCACGTAGAAAACTCAAACACTCATCAATCGTGGCCAGTAATTGCATGAAAGACTTCCCATTTACAGAGAGCTTACCAGTATTCAACTTCTGAAGTTAAAAATGAGATGAAAGCGTTGGTAGAAAGCTGTTTTTCTATTGAGTATTTTTTCTTAAAAAACCTTCATTATTGCATCATGTTGAGTAAAGTAGTAAAGATTTGCACGAATCTGTTCCGCTCCAGCAGCCAGATGCGTCTGATGAGCCATCATCTGATCACACGCGTTATGTAGCGAGGAGGTGCGCTCAGTAACCATTTCATACGCGTTCCGCAACTCATTCAAAGTCTACAGTGAAGTCTCTATTAGAAACAAAAAGAAAAGCAGTATATGAGAAAAGTTTTCATATTTCGAATACTTCTCCCTATCAGTCGCTCTTCACTTCACATCCTTCACAAGTATTAAATGCGAACAGTGAATAAAATTTAAAGAAATTGCAGTCTCACCTTCATTGCATTGTCGTGCCTTTCTGTCAACAGTCGCATATGATCTGTACATTTCTGTAACGCAGTTACCTCTTCATTTTCAGCATAAATACCTGCCATCACATTTTCCTTTTCGTTTTCATATATTTCTGATATGCAGCTAAAAATAAAAAGTAAAAA